TTTACAGCCGACTGCCTAGCTAAGAGCCCTAATCAACGTCACAGTTTATTTCAAGTACGTAATATGAATTATTACACGATTGGAGTCCCAAATGTTTTATGATAATTTGTGATTTTGTGGGAATATTTTTCCCTAAGCTATTGATCAGAGCAGAGTTGTTTAGTAACATTTGTGAAGCTCTGAAGATGATTGGACATGAGAAAAGAGATGAATTCTGACGTGGAATCCAAGCAGACCACGTACGTTACGCCCCACTGAGCGATCGAGTTACCCCCACTTTCAGTATCAAAGTGTATACATTTCATTTAACCATCACAGCCGACAGATGTATATAATAGGCTACAAATTAAAATCACTCTGAATCGCACGAGCTGGAGGTTAAATCAAGGAACAAGAGCTACGACTGCGAGATACACCCAACATGCAGAACTTTATTTTTTGGCTTTTCGCTCTCGTTCTTCTTTTATGTTTCGTCCGATCGACCTCTCACTGGTGGTAAGTTATAATTCGCTCTCCGTCGTTCTGGAATCGCTCATTCCAAAACTACATGACTCGATTTAAACCTTGTGCATCAGTTAGCGCGGTAATGTTGAAAAAGAGTCAGCCATCGCAATGCGCAGTTTACTTCTGGATCAGAGACAGATTTTTGCCAACTATGTTATTATCAATTGATTAGGTTTATGTCTCAAGTGCACACAGCAGGCGACAGAATTATGTGTGATAACGTACCTGGTTTGGTAAACATCCAACGACAACTTTGTCGAGAGAACCCTGATGTTATGGTTGCCACTGGAAAAGGCGCAAGGCTTGGAGTGGAGGAATGTCAGCGACAAATGAAAGACCAGAGATGGAATTGTTCCACCGTGCCGCGGGATGATAGCGTGTTCGGGAAAATAATGAAGAAAGGTAGGCTAAATTTCTCAAAGAATACTCCTCTTCATTTAATTGTTTTTGTCTTGTAGACGTATGTCTACAAGCTTTTGAAACCCTTCCAAGTACTCCATCAGTAAAATGTCGACGAAAATCATATTGCCCAAAAAGTCAAACAAAAACGTTTCAACTGAAGTTTCGTTTACCATCGTGAACGAAAATGGTTGTTTCACTGAATCAAACACTTGGTTTTCGATAGTTAATTGCTATCAAACAATCGTTCTTATTACGAAGGGCGTTGTCCATGCCCAATAACAAGCCCATTCTCTTTATTTTGAGTGTTGGCCAAGTGTTATAATAAGCTAAGTGTTTACAGTGTTAAAACTTCAATTGACAGCGAGCCGGGAAAGTTCCTTTGTATACTCAATGACATCTGCTGCAGTCGTACACGAAGTAACCCGTGCGTGTGGGCGAAACGAACTCAAGAATTGTACTTGCGTCACAAATCACAAAGACAGAAGTCAGAAAAACTTCGACTGGAAAGGATGTAGCGACAACATTGCCTTCGGTCTGAGATTTGCCAAGTTATTTGTGGATTCTGTCGAACATGAAAGAGACCCACGCGCCAAAATGAATCTCCACAACAACTTGGCTGGAAGAAGAGTGAGTGAAACTATTTACGGTTCATTTATTTTTAGAGTCTCAGCTACACGGGGCCTTATTTGTATTTTCTAAGCCTGTCTACTCATATAAACGTCAAGTTTTTCTGCAGTTTTGTAAACTAGCAGCTTCGCATGTTAGAGCATTGATTTACTGGTATTTCTCGAATTCTTTTGTGTCCAGAACTTAAACAAACAGTGACTTGCGATAAAACAATCCATATTGTGTTTTAAGTAAATAAGTTTCAATACTCTCGCGTAGAGTTGGTCGCTGCTCAAACTACGGTTTTGTACAGTAAGAGAGTGTAAGAAAAGCTATTTTGTCCTAGCTTCAATTTTCTTTTTGGCCTTAGCCGAAAAACAATGTATCTTTAAACAGCTTTTTCCGCTGAATATACAGCCTACGTTTATATATTTTGTTAAATCTTGTCGGCACATTTATCTTTTGAACTGAGTTTATTTAGTTGACAGTTTCAATGAAGCCGACTCCATTCATGTCTTCTAGGTTGTAATTAGTTTGCCTCTTTCGGGTTTTAAGCCGACTCTATTTAGCCGTCTTTATTTTGAATCGTGTCGGTGTTGCGTTAGTATAAATAGAGTACTCTTATCCCCATAATACGATTTACATCTCGACGATTTGTACATCGAAGAGTTATCGAGAAGTTACGAAGAATAAACGTGTGAAGTCCAAGTTTTTTGCGTGTCCTGATTTCCAGTTGTAGCAGATCAGACGGTACTTTGAAACCCGTGACAAGTTCCTCTCCCGCAGCAAGAGAGTTGCTCCGAGCTAATCGTTCCCCAAGCGCAGTCGTCTAGACAGTTAGTCCTCTCAAACGCCTGTTTCCCCCTTTTAGAGTTCAGAGTGGAAAAACCCGTTGTCAAACGTTAACACATAGTTGCCTGGTTGTGGCCCCGTCCACGCTCGCCGGACGATTTAAAACGGAGGTTTTACTCTAAAAACGCATCAAATGTTTCGTCCACATTACACCAGAGGAATTCAAAAACGCGACAGTTACTGCGTCATTTTGGATTTGTGTTTGAGGAAAACTCAGTTAGGGAAATCGCATAATTATCGTTACGCCATCGTTTTCGAAAAGCTCCGTTTTCAAAATGTTTTCCGTCCGTCCACACGAAAACGAAAAACCGCGGTTTCAAATCCCTCCGGTTTGAAGAGCGTCTTCGAAAAGCTCCGTTTTCGTGACGGATTAGTCTGGACGGTAGGCCTAACCGTAGAAGTAAAACTACGTTTTCAAATTTTCCCGACGTAGTTTGGACGCTGCCTGTAAGTTAAGTTAGAATGAAGTACTCTGTAAGCACTGTTGTTTGTGTCTTTGGTGAAGTGCGCTGTTAGCGGTCGCTGTAGTTTGTTTACTTCCTGCATTAGAAAGACGCAGTTCCACGCACAGTTCCTGTAGTCCCATATTTCCTACCTGCGCATTCCAGTGCAGAACACAGTTTTTAGATAGTCAGTACTAGTTATCTATGGGTAATCAAATGGTGGCCAGTGAAATTAGATAATAACTTCACGCGCGTTTTGTCAAAACCCTAATAATTTCCCGAGATTTTAATATCACATGTGTCAAATTACGCTTGCAATTGTCGGTTTTTTAATGGTTTACCGTATCGAGAAACTTCGCGCCAAACGTTGCTATGACAATTTTGTAATTTCACACGCGAAATTATAACTTAACGCTGAAATTTCGCGCCAAAATTAACGAGTAATTTGTTATCTACAATATTAATGTTGGGAACCATGCAATTTATCCTTGCAGGTAGTACAAAGTCAAATGGTTTTGATCTGCAAGTGTCATGGCATCTCTGGTTCATGCGAATATAAAACATGTTGGAAAGGAATTGCTCCGTTTGGTGCTGTGGGCAGTTATCTTCGTGATAAATATCACGCTGGCGTCCTTGTCACTGTTAACCACAGCAGCAGTGACTCTAGTGAGCTCGTGGTGGCTAAAGGGAAGTCTTCAATTAAACCTCCACGTGACGATCTCGTGTTCTTAGAGGAGTCCCCGGATTACTGCGTTCGTGATTCCAACACCGGCTCGCTGGGCACCGCGGGAAGAGTTTGTGAAACGACCACTTTAGGGAACGGGAACTGCAGGCTTCTGTGCTGCGAGCGCGGGTTTAATACGATTCAAATCGAGGAAGAGTACCAGTGCGCTTGCAAATTTCACTGGTGTTGTCTCGTAAAGTGCAAAATTTGCAGAAAAACTGTCGACAGGCATGTGTGCAATTAGCCCGAGGAAGAAACATCTCTTTACAATGGACGTTGATAATACGGTCAACTCCCGATAACTCAGACCTTGAAGGAATTGAAAAAGGTTCGACTTATCGGGAGTTGAGAACAAATATATAACGTAATGAAAAACAAAGCAAAGCAAAAAAGCAGGAGAAGTCCAGGCATTGCGAACGTTGCAGGTTTCACAGAGAACAACGTCGGGCTACCGCTACAGAGTTCAGGAAATTCACTTTTTCGAGAAATAGTTTCAATGTTTTGAACTACAGATTGATTGTTTTGAGTTGTCATGTTTTGACAAACATGGTTCGAGTTATCGAGGGTAAAATTATATGGAAAATGAACTGAAGGGAAAGGAAAATTTCCTAGAGTTAGCGGGAGGTTCGAGTCATGTGGATGCAGGAGTCGCCTGTAAAGAGGAAACTCCTAAAAAGTCTGGGTGGTGGAATAGTTTCACTAGTTAAAAACAATAGCCTAACTGTTTTTAGCCATAGATTTATTTCTGAGTCGTCCGAGTTCTGCGTGGACTACTTACGAAGTAGTTTGTCGAATTGCTTTATCCAAAACGCGAAAAAGGAACTGGACAATATTTCCGCAATTCACGCCTCGTCTGGCTCAATATATTTATACTAGTTATGCAACACTTTCGAGTGCTATACCATGATATATCCCACGGTCACCTTTATTTTCTTGGCCTATAAGCACTCGCCTGTGCCATAGAAAATACGCAATCAATGCGATATACGCGCGGCACATGATGGGAAGGTTGGATGTAATACCGTCGAATATACAACGGCTTATCTCTATTCTGATTGGCTGTATTTTTTATGGCATGGTATGTATGCAAAATTATAAATTTTTAATGTTACATGTCTACGCGACGTTCGTTGAATAATCCGTTCGCTGTTTTCAAGACTGCGCATACAGTCATTACAGGTTTTGTTAGCTGACCAGTTCTATGAAACATCTAGTATAAACTAGCTGGGTGAGCTGTGGCAGCCGTTGACCCTTTGATTCGATATGGTAGTAGCAGTATTAGTAGTTTATTAAAATTCTCTGGGGGTCTTAGACTGAATTAACGAGCTAGGCTTACAAGAAATAATATTCAATAAATCTAACTAATCTAATACTACTAACGATTAACTAATTGAAATATTTAAATATGAACAATTCCTCACTTTTCCTGGTTCTACAATTAATTAAGTTTTTAAACAAATAAAATTGCCACGGGATTGTTCTTAAGTTGTAACGACAATTATTATAACAACGAGTTTTGATGCTAAGTGAAACAGAGGATGATCACTCTGCTTCATGTTATCCATATACTTAAAACGCAAGTACTTGCTCCTATCAGCCAGTGTTGTTAATTTAGCCAACTGGAGGGTGTCTGAGTAAGTTTCAACCGCTAGGAATGATATGGGTTAGGGCAGCTCACTTTTATAGCCAAGCGTATTTACACCAGCAATTTATTTGTATCTATCTAAACGATTCATTTATAGGAGTCCAACTTTTTGAACTCTTTAGTTAAATGTTCAATTTTTAATTACTGTTTGCCATCAGTCTAGAACCATCTTATGCGACGCTCGAATAATAAATATGATAACTAATGATCAGGGCTGGAAATAACAGTCGGTCATCGGACATTGTCCGACCAAATTTTGAATATGTCCGGTCAATTTCCCATTCTGATCGGACATGATGACCAAACATTTTACCAACACCAAGTTATTGTCCATCCATAAAATTTGGTTAGATACATTGTTAAAAGGCTCGAAATTGCGACCGGTTCGGTCGCCACTGCGGCTAAAATTTTTATCTTTGGCGGCCAAAAATTCTGGTCGACAGCCGAAAATACGTCTGCATTCAAAGGCTACCATAACGGCGACTACGTTTCTCTGTGTTGACGATCAATAACGGTTATTTTCTGAGACATTATGTCCTTCCAGAACTACATAGTGAAAGACCTTTGCTTCTATAACATTCAACATAAGAAAAGAAAGCAATCTATCCTTTTGCTTTGCTGTAAAGGATTCCCTCACATCGGAAAACTTGCAAATGGTTGCTCGTCTTTGAAATCGCCCTATAATGCATTGCAAACCCTTAAGCATTGAGTACGTCATGTATGCCTACCGATTGTGTCTTTTGAAATGTATCAATCCTTCACAGACATTGCATTAGCTACGTACACAAAATTAGCGGCCAAAAAAGTCTTGGAAATTTTTTCTTTACAGATTTTATGCATTGAGTTCTTTTCTGAGTAAAATTCCTACTTGATTGTTATCACTTAGTTGCCAAATGGCAATTCAAGATTTTTTCTTAATTTTAGGCCCTTGACTCTGACAGTTTGAGCCATATCCAGGAGCCCATTATGGGCTTCTGCCATATCATAGTGTTCATCTTTCCTGTACTTGCCAAATAAAATACTCTTCAGAAATCGCCCTACTATGCACTACGTGCATTGCAATATGCTTTTAGCACTTTATGTTTGTAACCTTTAGTCAACTTTGGTCAGGTGCCCATCACTAGGAGCCTGCAACTCGCATACTAAGCCTAGGTCACGGTATTTTTACAGAACGGTCTATTTTTAGGCTTCTTTTCCCACGAAAAAGGTCACTTCTGGTCTCTATGAACGCGAATCAGTAAGGAGAAAAATGACGGCCTCAGGTGGACATGTCGACCTAATCTTCTGATGAAATTATAAAGTCCATGCTTGTGATTGGTCACTGAGAATCCTGGGGGGGTTCTGAATTCGCGGCAAATTCAAACTAAAAATAGGTCGTTCTGTGAAAATGTCGGGACAGGAATAATTGGGGTAGTTGTACACTCCTAGTGATAGGCTCCTGCTTTAAAGGGACACAGTCAGCTGGTGCATTTGCGCATTAGATACCATTTCATAGCTAATTTGTATATCCCAGAGACGCGATCCATACTGTTTTTAACCAAATATGATAAAAATAATATAGGATTGAGCAAAAGCACACTCAAAAACAGGTTTTTCAGTAGACGATTGAAAATCAAGAAAAACACTGCAAAGATTGAAGCGGATTTNTCCTAGGAAACTAGGTTTGCTTGAAGAACATATAATCAGGAGATAACCAGGAGAGATCGGTGCAGTCATCTTGTAGATTAAGTCATATAATCATCATAAATGATAAATAAATCAAATTTAAATGCAGTTTTGAACGATTTGTATTGAAAATCTTTACAGTATGCCAATAAATTTTATTGCGCTAATTAATTATGCTAATCAATTATGCAAATTAATGTCCGGTCAAATTGACAAGATGTCCGACCTAAATAAAGATTTGAAAGGACACATGTCCTGTTAAAGAAGAAAAATTATTTCCAGTACTGAATGGTGGGAAGAGTGTTGGGTCGATTTCCAGAAACTTGGGCGACATTTCCGAGTCCTAGGGACTCTAAACTAATTCGAGAAGACTTTGTTTTCAGTGAAATGGACAGAGGAAAAATTTTTGAACGCTTGGTTATGAGCAGTCTGGCCGAAATATTGCCCCTGTTTAACTCACTTAGTAGCCAGAAAGTCGCCGAGACCGGGCTAGGCGCAGCCTGATTTTGACCAACTCTGGGTCGATTTCTAAGAACTTGGGCGATATTTCCGAGTCCCAGGGACTCTAAACTAATTCGAGAAGACTTTGGTTTTCAGCGGGCTACGCGCAGCGTGATTTTGACCAACTGTAAGTGTCTTTATACACGACTTGATTAGTTCTGAGGGCCAATATCAAAAATCAACCAATCAGATTGCTCCATTGCCGGTCAAATATTCTCTAAGTATTGGACGGGGCAATGTCCCGAATGATCCCGTATGAGTACCCTTGAAAATTTTCTGCTAGTTTTATGATTTACGTACGTTTCTGAAAGAACTTGCTTTCACTTAAAATATTCATTTTCTTTATCTTCCGACTCTCTTTCCCTTCTGTTTTGTATAAGTAACTAAGCGCGAGGGCCGTCGAGTCCTGCGCATGTGCGAGATTGAAAACGTCCGACGATGATTTCAATCTCATGTGCGAAATTCAAAATGGCGTCGACAAAGCTATTTAGACTGACTAAGAGCATCTTGACCACCAAATCATAATTTTCTCAGGAATCTACATTTACTGACGTTAGAATTCTTTGCAGATGTGCTGCAGACCGGAAAACGAGTATTTATAACAAAACATTTGAAAAATGCATTAATCGTGTTGCAATTTGAAGGTAATCCCAGTTTTGGTGATAAACGGCATGAATTTTTGGCAATTTATCGTATCATGGCCTCTAGATCTTTACCGGCATTTAGCTTTCAAATGGCGTATTTTCCTTGTGTCATTTCGGGCATGATCTTGTTTTCTACTTAGTGCGTTTCCCTGGAATTATACGTCTCATTTTCATAACTCGTCAATAAACAAGTTTTCATTATTTTAATTCACAAATTTGTTGAATGCACGTAATTCACTGTTAATAAACATGAAACGACAATGAACGCCACTAACCATAAGGTCAATGACAGGCACAAGGCAATTAATGTCAGCTTTTCCCTAACATGACGAATTATGACACAATTAGAAATCTCTCTGCTTATGATAATTTGAGGTGCTCAGGCCAACCTTAACATATTGGAGTAAAGACTTGAAACTGAAAAAGATGAGGGCATGGTTTATAGGACAAACGACTTAACTGATCTAAACTGAATATGGAAGCAAGCTTCGAGTTTGTAATACCGTATTTACTCGATTAAACGCTGTCCTCGAAAAGACGCCGCATTTTAGAACAGAAATATTAATAAAAGTCGCACTCGAATCACGATAAATTCGGCAGATAATTCATGGTAGGCCACATATAATCGCCTTCCCCTTTACTCCTTAAATGCTAACCGCAAGCAAACAGCAGTAATTAAATGTTAACCGCAAGCAAACAGTAGTAAATAAATGCCAACTGCAAGTAAACACAATATCTAAATGCTAACCGCAAGCAAACGGCAGTAAATAGAAGCAAACTGCAGGGAGAATATATGGGTGGCCTACCATGAATTATATCCCATAAATTCGATGAACGCCGCCAAATTTGATCGAGTAAATACGGTAAATTTGAAAAGAGGTCTTCAAAAAAGTGAGCAGGTTGTATTGCAACCATGGTCAACTATCACATTAATTAATGTGTTTAGGTTATTTATCACAGACGGCAGTTTTGATAGAGTAATCTCTCGGACCAAACAGTTCACTGAGTGAAAGAATAGCGTGGAAGCCAGTCGATAGAGAGAATGAACGTTCAACAGTTTATATCTGTTATATTGCCCGGTCGGGAATGTCAAAGAGATTTTTCAAATTCAAGCCTCTTGAGTTTAAAAGAGCCACTGTAGTTTAATGTGTTTTTGTAACTGATCATGGACCCCCTTGAAGTAAACAAAATTAATTTCGATAAAGTTCATTTCTCGGTTGAAAGAATTTCTTTGGCTGTTAAAATACGAAACGGCAGAATGTATTCGTTACAACATTTCGATGCTATGACTCCCATGCACGGATGACTCGTTTATTTTGATCCTTTCGCGTTTATCGATTGAGTTCTTTGATGTCCTTTTGTAGTGTGAGTACAGACTGATAACGGACTCCCATGAAGGAAACAAAATTGATTTCGAGTGATAAACAATGTACCTTTCTCGGTTGAAGAAACTTCTTGGGCTGTTAACTGCAAAATGCATTCGTTACAATATTTCGATGCCACGACTCACACGAATGACTCATTTATTTTAATCCATACGCGTTTTCAGTTCATTTGATTTCTTTGAATCATAACATAATTTTATAGTGCGCCTAGAAAAAAAGAAATTCGGAAAGAGTTTTGAAGGCTTCCCTGCTAACATCGGCGTCTAATATATAGAAAGATAAGTGATTGATAAAAGTTGAACGCGTTTGAAGTGACTACACTACAACAATGTTAAGTTTTCCGATTTATTTCAACTACTCAGCAAAATTAACCTTTTTAAAATGAGATGAAAATAAAGCGCCTGACGTTTGTATTAGTTTTGGAACGCATCCAGTGTTAAAACACTCCCCTTTAGAAGATAAAGTCCAATTAATGTCACTTTTCTTTGAGAACGTTTGAATAATGTCACAATTAGGCCTGCCTCGGCACTTAAGAAAAACCTATAACCTTTGGTATAATAATTATTTCGCAACTTCTGCTTAGACCAAAATAAGGCTTATCAAATAAAAGGAAAATATATTCACCTAAGCCAAACTCCGCTACAGAAAATACAAGCAAAAGTTTTTGTTATTGCTAACCGGATACACTTGAACGAGAATCAAGAGCGTGTGCAATGAAACTTGACTGAATTCTTTGACACGCGTCAGGGCGTCGTTTCTGTTACGCTGTTATATTTTCGTAATTTATTTATCTCAGACAACAGGTTTATTAGCGTAAACTCTGAACCATACCTGACTCAGTCGAGTTTGGCATTCTTGCGAGCTGAAACAGGGCTACAGAGGCGTCCAAAATGAAGTTCTCGTCCGTTTGGCTTTTTACCCTCGTTTTCACTTCATTTCCAATCTTAACGACATCTCACTGGTGGTAGGTTTCATCTTAAATCTTCCACTTTCTACGAAGCTTGTATAAATTAAACGACTAACCCTGTATTGTATTCTGCTCTCAAGAGCAGTTCAAACTCTGTCAGTCCAAATCATTTTATATCAGTAAGCGCCCTTTTATGTTAAGTCTATTAGAGTGTGAGCAAAAAGGATTCTACCAAGATTGCTCAACTGAAGTTGTTTGTCTGTTGTTTGTTTCTACTCCAGGTTTATGTCTGAAGTGTTTGCATTGGGTGCTAAAATCATGTGTAATCACGACATTGCTGGCTTGGTGAACTCTCAGCGACAGCTTTGCCGAGAGAATCCTCAAGTTGTGGTTAGTATTGGAAAAGGCGCGAAGCTTGGTGTAGAGGAATGTCAACAACAATTCAAGGACCACAGATGGAATTGTTCCACAATGGCGCGCGATGTTAGCGTGTTTGGAAAAGTTATGAAGAAAGGTATCTATATTTAAGTAAATTGTCCATAACTGCTGCGTACGTCTTTGTAACTCCTAAAGTTTCTAATAACTCTTATTCAAGGTTGCCCCAAAACATCAAGAGAGGAGCCGCAGAGTTAAGCTACACAATAAAACCGCGCGAGTTAACGAAGCTAGTGACATTCAGAATTGGCTTCAAAGAGTTTCTACAACACCGTCACCCACTAATTACAAAAGAAGCATGATAAAATCTTCCTTCTTTATCGTTTTTTTCTGATCTAGTTTTGTCCAAATCTTCTGCTTGTCTCGTCTTTTGACAGCCAGCCGGGAAAGTGCCTTTGTTTATGCGATAACCTCAGCTGGAGTTGTACACGAAGTCACCCGCGCGTGCAGTCGTGGCGAACTCAGAGATTGTGAGTGTGACAAAAGTCGTAAAGGAACTAGCGAAAAAGGCTTCCAATGGGGAGGATGCAGTGACAACATCGCCTACGGTCTGAAATTTGCCAAGTTATTTGTGGATTCTGGAGAACGAGAGAGAGACGCAAGAGCAAAGATGAATCTTCACAATAACCTGGCTGGACGGAGAGTAAGTCCAGGCTTTTGAACCTAAGCAACATAAAAATTTCGTGCATTTAAATCACCATTTAATAGCTGCGTCTTAGTTTAGCGATTTTAATTAAACTTATCGCTCACAAATTTATCATCCAGGAAGAGTACTTTGTTTAAGTGTCATAATGCTTAACACCTGGTGTGTTTAAAGGAGCTTAATAACGGTTTGCGTATCTTGAAAAGTTTAGCCTAAATTTTTCAAGTTGGTCGTTTGTAATCCGTGTCAATCTTCTCCATCCTTAGTCATTTAGTCTTGTTCATTTATGGCTTATTATTATCTCTTTGGTGTTTTTCTATCTTAGTAATCTACTATTTTCAGGTTTCCTTCAAATCAAAGGTAATTTTGAACGTGGCAAAATAAACTTAGAATACTGTGGCTGAGCTACTTTAATTCGGACACTGTGAATCGAGAAACAAATATTGTTAATAGGAAAGAAATTTAGTTGAATGTCCCAACCGAAGAGATCACCAAAACTGAGTTAACAATGGCTAAATCAGGAGCGCCAACTCTGTAGGCAGACGAATGAGACAAAAATCGAAAATTTTCCGTTTCTTTTGAGTGGTCGAGAGCGCGTTTAATTTCCTCTTGCTGGTTAGCCGGAGTCAAAATAAACGATGTGAAGGAATTAATCATCTCTTGGTTAAATAATGAAGTTACGTTACGTTTGTCAAAGAAGATTTCTAATTCTTTTAGGAAGGGACGCCACTATAAAGAATAACAAACATTTTAAGATGGCTGACAAGCGTTTCCGTTTTTGACATTCCACTGACAGTTACCTTAAATATAATAATGTTAACAAATATCTTTCGACTCAACTTTGTATTGATTTTAAAATGAACGAAATGAGAGCTTTATGACATCAAAATTGGATTTCCTGACAACCTTATTAGAGGTCAGCATGCCATTTTTTTCCTTTTATGGTTAATAACTTAAGAATTGGATGGCGATGTTCCTTTTTTGGTCAGTATTTGTTATATTTTTGTTTCGCACGAAAGTGGTGTTATCAGCGGGAAATGCCTTGAGTTTTTGTCATCGAATTAATAGAGAACTTAAGCAATGACTACGGAGACCCCGAGGACGACGCCTAGTAAAAACTGAATTCCAGTTCATATTTTACCTTCGAATTTCGCAATTGTCTAGATCTGTTCAGTGCGCCTATCATATTGGTCTCAGAACTTGCTCAAGCCAAATATGCAACGCCAGCGTTCAATTCCAAATGAAAACACAAAAAATTAGCTGCCGCTTTTCGCGTTCTCCAAAATACGCGGAACTTAGTCATTTCACGTTGTTGTTGAGCAGAGGACGGCAAAGAAATGTATATATAGATTTATAACGCACGTGCACAGCCATTGTTCTACTCATTAAACCTTTTGTTTGGTGGCGTTCTCGTTGTCGTTGCCGTCGTTTTTTGCTTAAGCTAACTCTCTAATAGCGTTGCTGTTGTTATTTTAGGCCGTCAGACATCAGACCACCCTTAATTGTATCTGTCATGGTGTTTCTGGTGCATGTCTCGTAAAAACCTGCTGGGTCACTATGGCTTCTTTTGGTGTTGTGGGAAGCTATCTTCGTGACAAATATCAAAATGGCATCCATGTCACTGTGGACCAGAACGGCGACGAGCTCGTGGTG